CCCGCCGCTCAGTCCTGTCTTTTACAACTACTGGCTGCAGCACCTGCCCGTCACTCTTCTCACCGCCCAAACCCGCCTTCCTTCCTGGTGCTCATTGGTCATGGCCTCGCCTGCCCCGTCCCCGGTAGCCACGGGGTTCCCAGGAGGGGCTGGTGGAGTTGCGCCGGGCGGGTGGGACCGGGCTGCGGAGAACCAGAGGGGCCTGGGAGCGGCGTCCAGCTCTTCCCCAGGTTCGCGGGTAGACACGGGCCACTAGGCTGCAGACCCCCGCCCGCCCAGACCTTTGGGCGACGGGACCGCGCGTGTCTTCTAGTCTTGGCCGGCGCATCCGTCCCTAACACTTTGCCCCGGCGTAAAAGTCTTCAGACCCAGCCTCGTCCGCCCGTGTCCTGAGACCCTTGGACAGTGTATATACTGGGCAAAGCAGGAGGGTCAGATTCGCCCAGTCCAGAACCACCCCACCCCACCCCTCCAGGCTTCCATCCACTGGCCGATCCCGGAACCCCAGGCTTCAGGCCTCAGTTTCCGGCCGACGCAGGCGATCTGCGGCCCTAGCCCCCGGAAGCATACTCGGAGGGCCGAGACACTGCCGGACCGGAGATGGCGCCGCCGGCGGGCGGAGCAGCGGCGACCTCGGACCCGGGCTCTGCCACTCTGCTGCTGGCTGTGCACGCCGCCGTGAGGCCCCTGGCCGCCGGACCCGACGCCGAGGCGCAGCTGCGGAGGCTGCATCTGAGCGCGGACCCCAAGAGGCCTGGGCGCTTCCGGCTGGAGCTACTAGGCGAAGGGCCCGGGGCGGTGAGTGGGAGCAGCGCAGGCGGGCCGCCTGGAGGCCTGGGTGGGGCGCGGAGCCCGAGGCGAGGGCCCTCCACTTGCCCGTTGAGTTCTCTGTAGCAGGTCACTTCCGTTCCGTCGTCTATAAAAGTAAGTCCGTCTGGCACTTACTTTTATAGGACTATTATGAGGGTTTCGTAAGATGATGAGCCTTAAAGAGTTTAGGACAACGTAAGTGGCCTATAAATGTTACCTCATATGCCTTTGGTCATCATGCAGTATGTTCTTGCGGGGAGGCATGAGCTTGGACTCTCCCCATCCTCAGGTCAGTTTGGAGTGGCCCTTGGAGTCAATCTCCTACACCATCCGAGGTCCCAGCCAGCATGAGCTGCAGCCTCCACCAGGAGGGCCTGGGACCCTAAGCCTGCACTTCCTCAACCCTCAGGAAGCTCAGCGGTGGGCAGCCCTGGTTCGAGGTGCCACCGTGGAGGGACAGAACGGTCAGTGCCCTAGAGCAAAGATTCATTTAGTTGGCTAGGGGCTGTGTTGGGAGAGAGCAGGAGTAGCCCTGGCCCTGGGCCTGGATGGGGAATGTAGTGGATAAAGCTGGGTCCACCTTACCCACTGCTGGCATTCTGGGAAGGCGCCCAGAAGAAAGTGGAGAAAAGGAACAGAGGCCAGGAGCTGGGGCCTGGAGAACCAGACAAGTGTGGAGGGGCAGAGCAAGCAGGCCCTCAGGACCTGGGTGAGAAGACACTATCAATAGCAATGAGAAGGTATTCAGTGGGAGAGTGACAGGCTCAGATTTGAGCTCCTTAAGATTGGTTGAGACCTGCATTTGTAGGGTATGGTGCAGATAGGACTGGAGAGAAGGATGTTTCCAGAGATGCTTAGGAGATGGAATTGGCTGGATCCTGTGGGTGTTTAATTCGAAGAGTTAGTGGTTGAGACAGAAAGATGGGGGACCAAATACCCTTGGGCTCCCAGAGAGAGGTCCTGTTTGGGAGGGCGTGAAGGTATCCCAGTTTTTATGTATCTGGGAGAGTGGGAGTAGGTGAATCTGGGCTGGAGCTGGGGCTCTGGAGAGGTAAAGACTGGGGGTAGGGAAGGTTAATCAAGGTCAGCAGGAGAGAAGGCCAGACAGTCAGACAGTGCATCAGGGAAAGAGCCCTCAAATGCATCAGAATTGCCACAAGAGGGTTAGGAAGAAAACCATACAAGATGATGTTACGGAGGCCCAGACAACACAGCATTTGCAGAGGGAGAAAAGCTTTTTCATTCACTGACTTACCAGGTGTATACTCGGTACTGCTCTGGACTAAGCACTCCTTTAGGCCTTGGAGATTTAGCATGAATAAAACTTCAGCTCTCTACTCTCTTGGAGCTTTTAGTTCTGGAGGGGAGGCAGACATAAAATGAGTAAATGAAATTCAGATGGTGGGAGGGATGGGAGTGTTGAGAGGGAGGCAGCAAAAGCCTCCTTAAAGTGACACCTAGTGAAATAAAAAATATATATTTTTAATATGTTTTTATTGATTTCAGAGAGAGGGAGGGAGGGATAGAAACATCAATGATGAGAGTCATTGATCGGCTGCCTCCTGCATGCTCACTACTGGAGATCGAGCCTGCAACCCGGGTATGTGCCCTGACCAGGAATCAAACTGTGACCTCCTGGTTCATAAGTCAGTGCTCAACCACTGAGCCACACCAGCCAGGCGACACCTAGTGAAATTTGAAGATAGAGGTGTGATCCACAACGTAGCCAGAGAGCAGTGGGTACACAGGCCCTGAGGCAAGAGCATGCGCTATGGCTGGGCCAGACCTGGTGCTGGGTACTTGGGAGCCCTGCTTATTTCAGTGGGCAGACAGCTCAGAATTCTGAGGGCCTGAGCTGCCTCAGCACTGGGTGGCTGGGCCTCAAGTGGAAGGGAAGAGGGGGAGACAGAGTGGCCAGCTCTGTAAGGATATCTAGGGCAGACAGTGGCCTGAGAGGGCCTGTTTGGAATGGGAGCAGTCCAAGGTATACTGGATAGAGTCAGGAAAGGGGATGGAGGTCCCTGAGGGTACCAAGAAGAGGCCATGCTGACTGCAGGGCTCCTGGTAAGCAGGAAGGGGCAAACTCCTGTGCACTGGCTTTCATTTTGCTGTGAGGTCAAGGGAATATCCCTGGCTGGTTGAGAGGGCCTGTGGAGGCCAAGAGAAGTGGCCTGGCTTCCATGGAGGAGGGACATAGGAGGGACCAGATCGCAGGACACCCAGAAGACTCTAGAGCACAAGTGCAGCTCCAGCTCTGAGAGGAGTCAGCAGGGACCTGAGGGGTTCCTTGGCCCTTGCAAGGGCCAAGTCTTGGGGGAAGGCCTGGCTTGAAGTGTGGCCAAGGCAGAGCCTTGGCATGGGCTGAGGTGAGAAGGGAGGAGGCAAAGGTCCTGGAAACCTGAGGTCAAGAGAGCAGAGGCCTAGGTGAGTGCTCTGCTGGGAGGCTGAATCTTGGGAGACCACCAGCCACCCCATGTCTTCCCTCCTAGGCAGTGACATCCTGCCTCCAGCCCTGGGCCCAGAAACATGTCCTGTTTCCCCACTCAGTCCCCCTGAAGTGCATACACCCAAGACTCCCCAAGCCAAGGTGGATGTTCTGAGTCCTGGAGACTTGATGGAGAAAGGTAAAGGCAGGTGGTAAGGAGAGGTTTGGGGCAAGAGCCATGCCCATCTGTGATGGTGCACTCTTTTTTGTTGCAGAAGAGCTGGCAGGGTGTCTGGCCCGGGCCATTGAGGGTGGAGATGAGAAGGGGGCAGCCCAAGCTGCAGCCATCCTGGCCCAGCATCATGTGGCCCTCAGTGTCCAGCTCCAGGAGAGCTGCTTCCCTCCTGGTCCCATCAGGTGAGACCTGGGACTCTGTCCTCATCCCACCCTCCCAGCGCTCCTGGGCACCCCGTCATTCCCCCAACTGACATTCTGGCCCAGGCTACAGGTCACAGTTGAAGATGCTGCATCCTCTGCCCACGTCTCACTTCAGGTCCACCCCCACTGCACCATCTCAGCCCTCCAGGAACAGGTGGGCACAGGGTCTGGGGAGCCTTGCTGGGGGGCAGGGACCCTGGGTGACACTGCCATGCCCTGATGCTCTGACTCCAGGTATTCTCGGAATTTGGCTTCCCGCCAGCTGTGCAGCGCTGGGTCATTGGGAAGTGCCTGTGTGTGCCCGAGCGCAGCCTCGCTTCCTATGGGGTCTGGCAGGACAGGGACCCTGCTTTCCTTTATCTGCTCTCAGCCCCCCAAGAAGCCCCAGGTCAGTCCTTGATTGGGGTGGGGTGAGGAGCGTGGGGTGCAGCTGACATGGCCCTTAGCCCTACCCATTCTACCATAGGATGCAGCCCTCAGTGCCCCCAGAAGATGGATGGGGAACTAGGCCACCTGTTTCCTCAGTCATTGGGGCTGCTCCGAGCTCCTCAGCCAGCCAGCTCCAGCCTACCCAGCCCCCTTCAGGTAGGCAAGGGCCCAGGTAAGGTGGGCCTAGGCAGTTGTGAGCATTGGAAGGAAGGGGTAAACAACTGTGTCCCCTCCCGCAGCCCGGCTGGCCCTGCCCTTCCTGCACCTTTATCAATGCCCCAAGCCGGCCTGGCTGTGAGATGTGTAGCACCCAGAGACCCTGCGCTTGGGACTCCCTTCCTGCAGCCTCTACCCAGCAGTCGCCAATGGTACTAGAGGCAGGGAAGGGGATGGGATGGGGGAGGGTGGCAGAACACCAAAATGACCTATCTTTACCCCTACCCCCAGGTCACGAGGAGAGAGGATGGCCCTTCCCTTCCAGGACCGAGGTCCCTGGATGCTCTCCTAAACCTCCCAGGGGACCTCCACTGACTGCTCCCTGGGGACAGAGCTGGGGGAGGAGTAATAAGCCAGAGTCATTAAAGATACTTCTGAGCCAGCTGAGTGCCCCCACTTTGTGCAGACTGGGCTGCTGGGAAGATGGAGAACAGGGCCCAGTACCACCCAGGAAACTTGGTGGAGAGAGGGCAGAGTCTGGACCTCAGTAGGGCTCTCCAGCCGGGTTAAGGTGGCTACTCAAGAGCTTACTTGGACTCCCAAGTCCCAGAGATCCTAGAGATATGGTACTAAGATCTCTTCATACTGTGAAAGGGCTTGCTGTGCCCCCACCCCCACCCCAGCTGACCATGCCTGAGCGCTCCTCTCTCTCACTCTGCTCTCTGTTCTCCTAATTGGCCACAATTCCGTGGGGCTGTTCCAGCCAGGATGCCTTACATTCCCTTCTTGGGGACAAGAAAGGCTCAGAAGCTAAGGGCCCTGTGCTACTGTTAAGGCAACATGTCCATGGCCTACCACTGACAGATCCACTGCTGTTTCCCTCCCTCCAGCCTGTTGCTGCATGACCTAGCTCTGCTTAGCTGTCTGGCCTGGGCCCAACCACAGTTGCCTGTGGATTGCTAGGAGGGACCATCCCATGACAAATACCTAGACAGCCCACTACCCTGCTCCCCTCCAACATGACCCTTTCTCAGTGGATCCCTCTTAACTGTCCAGGCAAGAGACCAGGAGCACATTCCAAGTGGTTTCTGCCTGCTTATCTCTGCTTCCTGAGTAGAAGTGAGAGGTATCCCCCTCTCCCAGTCACGCCCAGCCCCAAACAGCTCCTACTTTAGACCAGGCCCCTCCCTTTGGAATGTTGCCAAGGGCTCCTCTGCTGCCCTCAGGATGAAGACCAAGTGGTTCAACACACTGACACTTGGCTGGTTACTCTGGCAGATCCCTGGGCCATGTCCAACCAGGCTTTTTTCACCTCTGTGACCAGGTACTCTCCACCCCAATGAATGCTGCCACCTTCTCTAACAGGTCTTTGCGTCCTGTCCCACATCCAGAACGGTTTGTGACTCCCAGCCAGCAGTCAGCATCACAGTACATGGGACATCCCTGGGAGCTCTGAGGGCCAAGGTCTTAGTCTCAAAGACCCTGCAAACTACACTCCCATCTCACAATAGCTCAAATGTGTCCATTGAGAAACTTAATTTATTTCCATGATAGAAGCTGAAGGACTTTGAGCTTGAACCGGGTCTCCTGCCCCCTCCACCCTTTTGCCCAGAGGAAGAGGGGCTTGGCCAAGAGGGCCAGCTGGCGTCTGAAGAGAACCAGGATGGCTTCTTGGCTTGAGGGCCCATTCAAACAGGATGGCAAGCAGACCCTGGGCAGTGTCACTTGGGTGGCCGATATGCCAGCTTCCGGCTCTTCAGAACTGACCACTTATGCCGCTTCATGGCGTAGACCAGGGGCAACAGCAAGCCCATCATCATCAACATCTGGGGATGAGGCAGGCTCAGAGAAAGGAGGCAGAAAGGACCCCTGCCCAGCTCCCAGCCCCTCCCTCTGCCATGCCCACTGCCCCCTTGCCCAACCCTTTCACCTTAAGCCCCATGCGTTTTCGATGGTCATGTTCTGGCTCAGATGCCCAGCGCAGGAAGGTACACACATCCTTGGCTACCTGGGACATGGTAGCTGGGGTGCCTGGACCAAGGACAAGTGGTGAAGGATGCCCTTGGGACCCCTGCCCAACCTGGGACAGCCTTTAGAACATCCCCTCCATGATAGATGGGTTCCTGCCCAAGGCTTCAAAAGGAATGGGAGGACCCCCTCAGGACACAGACAATGGCTTGAGCTGGACAGGGCTGTGAGGGCTGCCCACAAGCTGCCTCAGACATGTACCGACAGTGCCCCAACCAAGGAGAACCCAGGGGAGCATCCCAGGCAATGGGGCATGCCCACCCTCAGGGTAGGGACCTCACCATCGTCAAACTCCAAGACCTCGTCGTAGATGGGAGGGGCCATGCCAATAGCCTGGCCAGGGAAGTAGGGGTTGAAGTAGAGGCCTTCTCGTAGCAACACCCCAGTGGGCGGCTCACAGTAGCCGGTGAGCAGCGAGAAGACATAGTCTTCACCACCATGCCTAGGACCAGATCCAAGCTTCCTCAGCTTCTGGCACGAGTTGGACCTCCCCCCCTCCCCCCACCCCCTGCAGGAAGCTGGTGTACCTAGCTCGCACGATGTAGCTGAGGTCAGGGGGCACTGCTCCATTGTTGGCTGCTCTGGCGGCCTCAGGGTTGGGGTATGGTTTGGGGAAATAGTCAGACAGCTTCCCTGGTCGCATGAACATCTCCCCATCTTCATTGGGGCCGTCCTGAATCTCCACCTGCCACCAAAGGCACCATTACAACCCTGCTGTCTATCCTCCACAGTGGGAGCCCCAACCCCTGGGTCCTTTGCAGCATCCCCAGGCCCCCCACCTCTTCCGCCAGGGCCTTCGCTTCATCCTCGGTGTAGCACACGCCCACCAGGTGGCGGTAAGCCACGTAGTCCATGCTGTGGCAGGAGGAGCACACCTGCTTATATACCTGGAAACCCCTCCGGATGCTAAAGAGAGGGAAAGGGTTAGTGGTGCCCCGGATTCCACCCTACCCAGAAACTCCCCCAGCCAACCAGCCGCACACCTGGTATGGTCCAGGGAGGAGAGGAGGCCGCGGTGGGACCACGGATAGCTGGGGGGGTGCAGCTCCAGGTCGCTGGCACTTACGGCAGAATGCAGAGCCACAGCCAGCCCTGCACCCCCTGCCGCCAGCATGCCCAGTGCAGACAGCATCACTTTCCGGCCCCGGGACAGACCAGACTTCGACGACAAGGACACTGCCTGCAAGAGCCCCGCTCAGCGCCTGCCAGAACACCACCCATCCCTACCTGGGGATCTGACTGTCGGCGCCTACCTCTCCCACTCATCACCCAGCACTGGCCACCTCCTGGGGGCCGCCAAAAGCACACTCTGCGCCACTGCCCGCCCCACTCCTCCGCACGGCTGACCCCTGGACCGCGAGTCGGCCTTGAGGAAGGGGTGTGAGACGTGTTCTCAGATCCTGGGTCGGGGATCACGCCGAAGTGCGCAAGGGTGCTGGGGCCGGCCAAGGTCACAGCAGCTGGCCGAGGTCGGGCTGAGGTCACTTCAGGACGCGGGCCCAGTGCAGTCCGGAAGGCCCGAACAGGAGCGGGCCTGAGTGCGCCCCCAGGGTAAAGCCCTCAGCCCGGACCCGGCCGGGAGCCCGCCCCGCCACCCCCACGCTCGGCACGAGGCGCTTCGGCTGTTCAGAGGAGTGGGAGCCGGGCCCCACTCCCGGGAGGCACCTAGGTCGGCAGGCAGCGGAGGCCCGGCAGGGGCGCCGGGTGGCTGAGGCCGCTCCCCCGCTGGCTGGCCC